ATTAAATACCCCTTTGCTTCATCTTAATGCTTCCTCCTTTTGATAATGTATAGTATTGAGACCAAAGGAAGAAACCGCAGACCAGATGCAAACTGCACATGAAGACTTGTCACAGCAGGACAATGTTATCCCTTCTCCCATGCAAGTTCATGAGTGGTACACCGGGGATGGTAGGGAGGCCTCTAACGGGCAATCTTCTGTAGTGACGGACGATAATCTTGGGCTCGATATGCATCAATTAGCATCTCTATGTCCCATGGACACCACAGCTGACCATGGAAGGGTCCCTAGCTGGGACAACTTCCCTGGAATTCACTGACATGCACAACTCATGTAAACAGAAAAGGTGGATAGGCTTTACATTTTGTTCTATCTTTGCTGATATATATGATATTTTTTTGTATTTGGTATGATTGTATATTCTGTAATAAAGATAATAAAATAAGAATCTTAATGGCAACACACTATCCTTTGTCTAAAATGATTAGAATTTTTTTCTTTTACGATCTTAAGAACGCACTCTCACATTAACTTAATGTATTTAAAGAAATTAATTTTTTTAAGTGACTTGAATCCCAGATCTAACCTATAAAGTGATATTCACTTACTAATGAATCCAACTAATAGTTTTCTATGATATCCTTGCTCCAAAATTCATCTTGAGGTACAACAAGAAGCTGCTGTTCAAAAAAAAAAAAAAAAGTACAACAAGAAGCAGAAGCCAACAAGAGCTACAGTGCAAGTACTGGGCCTGGGTGTATTAGCATATCTTCGACTTCACGGATGAGACTTGAGAGAGGATGTGGATATTAAGATTGGGTTTTACTTCGGCCCTATAAGAGAATCCGCTCTGCGGGTTGAAATAAAAAAATAAAATAAAATAATCGAAACGTCACTTCCACTCTGCTCTCTCCTCTCTCGTCACGTTCCCGCTCTCATTTCCTTTCACCCTTTCGCTGTTCTTGCATTCGGCGTCGGTGGGATTGCTGGACGGCACCGGTTGAGGCTCTAGTTACGGTCAGCCGCGCCGATCCAACTTTGGGGCCAAGAAATTTGGAAAGCGCTCTTTTTTCACGACGCGTTTTTAGCCGGATCCGGCGCCGTCGCTCTTTGGATTGACGCTCCCATGGTGGCGAACAGTGCCCCGAGGACAGATCTGGCACTGTGACGAGTAGGATAGGTCTCCTACGGCGTCGACCGATGCCTGGAGGAAAGATCCTGTCTCCTTGCCGTGCTTATCACTTTAGGCTCCAATTGACTCTTCCATGATGACTACCGTTGAACTGGAAGATAGATCCGGCATCGTGCGAAATCTGATACAAATAGAGCACCGAAGTGGCGCTATGTTTCCTACTATTACACAGCGGCCATCATTGTTCTGCTCGCCAACCAGTGTTTCTACGAGGCAGTGGCCGTACCGCCGTACCTTGGATCTGCGGCATCTGTCCTTTTGAATTTTAAAGGGAGGGCATGCACTCAGAATTCAAACCACAATGAGGCGTTTTGGAGGTTCTGGCACCTAGGTAGAGTTCATATGGAGAGGTAATTCATTAATCTTTATATTTTTCTTTTATGCTTTCAAAGAGGCAAGATTCTATCTCTTTCACACATGTTTGGGAACTACTTTAGTTAAAAGAATATCATTCTCTATACTATGAGAAGAAATTGATGGCCTCTTAGTGACTAAAGCATGAAAATGTATATTTAAAGTGTGTTTAACCATTGAAATTTGTGGAATTATGGGTTTAAGAGTTATATTTTTCTACAAATAATTTCATAAATGTTTATTCTATACATGTTGTGCCAATTTTTTATGATTGAAGAGTTGATAATTAAATGGAGAGAATTAGAAGAAAAGAAGTTAAATGCAAAGAACCAGAAAGATGATTGTCCAAGGATTAAATTTAGAAGTTTAAAAACTCAAAGTGGGATTTTCTCCATTTTTGATTAAGATGTAAGTTTGTGAAGTTGACGTGTGAATGAGGTGTTGGAACTGTTTTCAAGTTCCAACCCTTGGCCTAAGGAAAAGGATAGACAGTAGCATGAGGGTTTCCGCACTCTGTGATTAGGATCCAATCCCTGGTTAGTTATGCACAAGATAGAAACATGCAGGGTTTGAGATTTCAACCCTGTCTAACAAGATTGTGCAGGCAGAAAGAAGAAAATAAAATTAATTCCCCAGGGCTGCTACTTTAGTTAGGAGCCTTTAAAACTAAGTTTAGTATTGAGAGAAGTTATTCTTAGGCACATATTTTCTTCTTTTCTAGTGCTAGAGAATTATGTTAAGGTAGGCTAGGGAGGATCTTAATTGAGGAGTTTAACTTATTACTTTACTGCTTACCATCCACAGACTAATGGGTAAGCTGAGTTAGCCGAGTTAGCCAATAGGGAGTTAAAACAAATTTAGGAGAAAATGATAAACCCAAATTGTAAAGATTGGTCTTTGCGCCTTTCGGATGCACTTTGGGCTTATCGCACTGCCTATAAAACTATTCTTGAGATGTCTCCATACCGGATTGTATATGGAAAAGCATGTGGAGCTTGAACATAAAGCTTATTGGGCTATTGGGCTTCTAAAGCACTTAATTTTGGTTTGAATGTTGCAGGTACCTGAAGGAAGTTACAAATATCAGAGATAGAAGAGTTGAGGAAAAATGCATATGATAACTCTAGTATCTACAAAACTAAATTGAAAGCAGCTCATGACAAGCAGATCCTAAGAAAGAACTTTGAGCCAAATCAAAAAGTGCATCTTTATGATTCTCATTTACATCTCCATCCGAGAAAGCTAAGATCTAGATGGACAGGTCCATTTGTGGTGAAACGAGTTTTTCTTAATCTTGCGGTTGAGATTGAGGATCCAATCGATGGGAGAATTTTTTGAGTTAATGGAATATGGTTGAAGTAGTATGTGGAGCAAGTAGACCAACCCGAGGAAATCGTTCTTGTGACTCCAATCTATGATACTTAATCAGGTTCTATCTTTCCATAATATCATTTTTTTTCTTTCTTTTCTTCTATTTGTTTTTGCTTTTATTTAGTAGCTTATCTTTTATTAGGTTAGGTTTCTATGTTTCTTTCCATAGCTATTACTATTGTAGGTTTACTTTTATTTCTTTTATTCTATGCCAGTGAGGACACTGTCTCATTTAGGTTGGGGGTGGTTGCACTGCATGCACATTTTATGCACACTTTTGATATACATTCTCTTCCAAAAAAGGAGATAAAAAAAAAAAGGAACAACACCTTGCTTATTCCTTTTACTTTGGTAATTGTTGTGTGAAAGGGTTTATTTATGCTTTTCTACCTAGGTATGATTTCAAAATTACTTGTTTAAGTCACTTTCTCTATCTTGATTATTAAAGAGTAACTTCTAACTAGACTGTCACCTTTAGGTTTAATTGCATGCAATTTCGAACTTTATCTCCTTTATTTCTGAATTTGTTAAATTGCTTACTTGCTCCCACAGGACCGTCAATGATGGTTTGTGACTTGTGAGCCATTTTCTAAAGACCTATAGACGGATTACAATGGGCCATTTTCACAGATTCTGTTGAGCCACTGCCTTAATGGAGATGATTTTTGCTTGATGTGTGGAGCTCTAGAAATAAATGTGAAATTTTGTAATTTTAGGTCTCTCCCTTTTTTTGTTTTGTTTTGTTTTATTATTTTCTAAGTTTGTAAATGGCCATTATTAATTTTCTAAAAGTAGTATATCAAAAATACCAAGTGTATAAAGTTGGAATACTATTGCATCCTTTGTTTGGTGAGGTGGGAGGGCTAAAAAATTTGGCATGGTGAGCTGGAATTACTCCAGGCAGTCTTGGATGTAATTGAGTTTGCAAATTGATGTACACTAAGAGCCCGTTTGGTTGGCCGGAAATTAGATTTCGGGGGACCTCACTGTATAAAGTTCACCATTATTTGTGACTTTGTACGTGGAAGTTGCAATTTTTCTTGGTTCTGAGCAAATTTCTAAATTGAAAATTCTGTTATGCCATGATTTGGGTTCTTAGTTGGAAAGAAACCTTACTTGGTCATGTCCGGGAAAAGTGACATTTGAATGCATTTATAAATGGTTAATAAATCTCTGAATAGTATAAAAATATAGTATTTTTTGAATGATTATCTATATTAAAATTATTTTAAAATTTATAATATATAATTTATATGAATAAAATTTAATCATTATTTTCATAAAATATAAAAATTGTATAAGTTACATTAATATGATTAATTAGTCAAAGAATAACATTTTACATGTGAAGAGGAGTTGGTGAGGGCGGGGAGCCAGCGACCTTTTATAGGCAAAGCGATCAAATTTTTTCCCCTTACATGGCATGCACTAGGAGAAAAATAAATATCCAGGAAAATAAATAATGGATGATTTGGGGGCATTCAGAAGAAATGATGGATGATTAATATGGGAGGCGGAGGCGGACGGGAGGGGTGTCATCGCATGTACTGGACACTATTGACACTGAAAAAAAATTTATGAAATGAAAAAATTTTGGGGGTTTTTTTAATTAAAGAGCCCCAAAAGCCCCAAAGGACCCAGAGGCCCAGAGACTCCATCCCATAAACATGACACTCCATCCCATAAAAAATCAATACATGACAATACATGACAAAAAAATGATAAAAAAAATGATATCCAATCATTTTCTTTTTTCTGATTATATTATTTCATTTCAAATACTTCTAATTGACCATCAATACATGACAAAAAAAAGAAAAAGTTATGCAAGCAGCAGCTAGGATACATTACAAAAAAACAAAGTTATGCAAGAAAATTACTCAATTTTCCAAGCCAGAAAGCTCGTCAACAAAAAAATGAAAAATGATAATTGTTCAAAGACTTTTTGATTATATTACTTTTCTATCAATCTTTGAATATATTACTTTTCTATCAAACTTCTAATTATCCTATTTTCAATACTTTAATAATTTCAAATATTTCTAATTGAATCCTCCTAGGGAATATTGTCTAATTATTACTTTCTAATTATAAATATGGCCAACTGAGCTCAGTTAGTTATGCAAGCAGCGTAAGCAGCGAACAAGCAGCGTAAGCAGCGTACTCAATTTTCCAAATTCTGCTAATTAAATCCTAGGATACATGACAAAAAACAAGTTATGCAAGCAGCGTAAGCAG